TGAGAACCACTGATGTAAAGCATTCCTCTCTCTTTTGCCAACAGTCGCAAAAGGTTGACTGCACACATGCCCCAAATAGGAAAAGTAGCAACACCAGGAACTGGTCCAGGCAAATATGTGATTTATTATATGACTGGGGGCTCTTTAGGAGTTGGCATTAGGTCCCTTCTTTTTACCAAAACCGGGCACGACATTGACAAACCGGCGATTGTACTGCATGCGCCTTTTAGCCCGGCCGGTTTTCTTTTTCTTCTTTTCTTGCTTAGCAACCTGAGAAAACATTAAGCAGGCGTCAGTAAAAGATCTTGCCAACCTTCTCCTAGAATTCATTTTAGCTCTTGATGTTGAGCAGAGGCAAGCCCTTTCCTTAAGGCACCCTGCAAAAAAAACCACCCCGGCTCATATTTGGGGGAAGAGATGAAAGCAGCAGGCAGAAGGGCAAAATCATGCACGCACGTGCGAAAAGGTATCTCCCTCGCCCAGGTACTGAACCAGTTATAATTGCCTCAACATTACTTAGGTGTTTTCTATTGGAAGTTGTATCCAGCGGGAATGTGAGGAACAGAATATTGTCTCAGGATAAATATAGACTAGATTAGAATATTGTTATTGGGCCAAGTGTGATTAGACACACAAAGAACTTGTCTCTGATGCAGAAGCTCTCAGTGTACATGCAAAGCAACAGAGTAGTAATAATCATAATAATGATACCAGTAAGAGAAGGTAGTAGAAAAGATGTGAAGGATAATAATACGCAGCTATACAACATGGGTAAACAGAGATAAGAGAGTGCTGTGGGAATTGGGTGTTTAGCAGAGTGATGGCACAAGGGGAAAAACCTATCTCTGTGTCTGCTTGTTTTGGTATGTGATCCACCTTTTATTTTAAACCAAGGTTAAGAAAGGCAGCAATTTCAGCAGCTGCTTTTCTGTTGCCACTGTCTTGTTCTACCAACTGCAAACTAGCCAGTTTACTAAGCGGTAAAATGGGTGGACCTCTATCCACATTGTGCTACCAAAAACACAGGGCCCAAGGCTAGAAAACGAAAACAGCAGCTTGACGCTTCCAGCCTAAGTAACTTGGCAGGACTCAAACACAGTTTTTCTCCGTTGCCACTAATAAAATAGACAGATATAAACAAAAAGCAGGTACTGATTCTTTAAATTCTATGTTGAAATCACCCATTGACCTTCTGCTGGTAGCAGGACTGTTTCCAACTTAGCAGGGAAAAAAGAATGGGATGGTCTAAGGTCTCCAGCCGTGAGCAAACGGGTTGGACTAGAAGACCTCTGAGGTCCCTCTTCCAGTCCTAGGATTTTACCTTCTGGGTTCTAATTTCCTTTCCAGGCAAAGGGCCTCTGCCAGCAATTGAAATGAGCAGCCAGCAATTCAGGCACTCCCGGCTATCCTTGGGGTCCACAAGCAGCAGGCAAGGCTGAAGGATGCCCAAATACCCCACCCTCCCAAACCCAACTGTGGGTCATCTTGAACTGCCTACCTTTGGGGTCTGGCCTCTCACTTTGCCAGCACGAGCCAGGGAACCGTGGACCTTCCCTAGAGAGAAAAGCAAAACACAGGAGGCTGTTTTTACAGGGAACAGAAAACAAAGCCGACATCCCTGATGACAAAGGAAGTGGCTTTATTAATCAGTCACAAGGGACCATGAAGTTAATGTACAGGTAGTCCTTGACTTACAACCATAATTCTGTTGCTAAGTGAAGACATTTGTTAAGAGAATTTTGCCCCATTTAACAACCTTTCTTGCCACAGATGTTAAGTGAATCACTGCAGTTGTTATGTTAGTAACACGGTTGTGAAATGAATCTGGCTTCCCCACTGACTTTGCTTGTCAGAAAGTGGCAAAGGGGGATCATGTGACCCCGGCACACTGCAACCGTCATAAATATGAGTCGGTTGTCAAATGTCTGAATTTGGATCACGTGACCCTGAGAATATTGCAATGGTTGCAAGTGTGAAAAACGGTCATAAGTCGCTTTTTTCAGTGCCATTGTAATTCGGCCATTAAGTGAACTATTGTTGAGGACTACCTGTACTGGATCAATTCCTCACAAGAGTCAAAGCTAAAGACACACTGACTACATTCACTTGGGTCTAAATGGAGCTGAGTGTATTGCAGCATGCAGAGAAAACCCAGTTACAAGTAGTCCTCAACTTACAACCGTTTGTTATTATAACAGTACATTTTTCACACTTTTACACACTTACAACTGTTGCAGCATCCCCATGCTCATGTGATCAAAATTCAGACACTTGGCTTGTACTTCTGACGGTCACGTGATTCCCTTTTGCAACCTTCTGACAAGTAAAGTCAATGGGGATGAAGCCGGATTCACCTAACCACCCTGTTACTAATTTAACAACTGCAGTGATTCACTTCACAAATGTGGCAAAAAAAGGTCCTAAAACTGGACAAAACTCATTTAACTGCCTTGCTTAGCAACAAAGTTTGTGATCAATTGTGGTCGTGAGTCAAGGACTGCCTGTATTACTTGTGTGGCGCAGCAGAAGGGAATGTAGGAACAGGACTTTTAATCCCAATCTGAATTTAGCATTTTGAACCTAACTTAACCTGGGAGGTCTGGGCTTGGAAACAATGTTGGTATTTGGACAGGAGGCCATGAGGAAATCCCTGTGGTTGGAAGAGACTTGGAAGCCCCCCCAAAAATTACCTGGAATCAGGCAGTGACAAATCATTTCTGTATTGTTGCCAAAAGCCCCGTATAGGATACTCATGAAGTTATGAGGAATGAAGCTCAATTAAACAGTCTATTTTTATAGTCTTATATATTTAGCCTTACGTACTCTATGAATTTTAGGTGATTACTTCATTGTTTTGTTTGATATCAAAACTCAGAAAATTGAGTTAACTGAATAAAGAGTAATTTATGGTTAAGTTCATCACAACTGCATCTTCTACCAACACAACAGAGAAATTTGTAAAATAAAAATCACAATTTATTCTTTTTCTGTGTACACTAGGATGGGGTTTTTTTTGTATGGAGTAGCTCTGGAAATTCCATAGCTCTTCTAACAAGCTTCCATCCAGGTCTTCTCTCTTTCGTACTTACCACCAAGCATGCGTGCAGTAACCTCCAAAGTTGTAAGGTCATTGACGCCGCACTGACCAATGACGGAATCATTTTCCAAGGGGATCCCACCAAGAAGAATCACTTGATCCTCAAGGGCGATGCCCTCCAGGCATTCGATGCGAGCCTAAAGAGGGAAGAAAGAAAAGTGGGAACATGAATAATTGACACTTCGCTCACTAAGGCAGCACATTCCTTTGAGGCAGGGTTTGCCAACAGTGGCAACTTTAAGACTTGTGGGCTTCAACTCCCAGAATTCCACAGCCAGCCTTGTAATTTTTCAATATCCACAACAGCTCTTGAATAAAAGGTGATAAAGATGATGAAAATACAATTTACAGCTCCTCAGTGGAGACGAGAGAGAGGAAGGGAGCCTCCAACAGTCCTTGGACATTTTAAGGAAGTTCATGTTTAAAACCTTGGCGGATGACAATATTTAGGAAATGCCTTACAAACACAATATTCCCCAGGATCACATATTGCTACTTCTTGGCCAAAACCAATTAAACAGAAAACTCATTACAATCAGGTATTAATCAAACAACAACTTACTACTCCAAATTGATTTAGAAAGAGGAAAAAGAAAGCCTCAGTCTTTAAAAGATTTCAGCATTTGCCCCAGTCTGAAGGAAGATTTATTTGGGAGAAACAAATGCTGTTTCAGCAACAATATTCATCAGAATGAAAGGTTCACATAAAATAATAATAATAATCTTTACCTTAAGATGAGCTACTGTTTCATGTCCAGACACCTCAAGGGTGTGCAAATTCTGAGCACGAATGAAAAGCTGCATGGTTTCACCTGCAGATGAAAAAGCAAAGCAGCAATTAAGATCAGCAATCCACCACCCCAAAATTTAGTATCCTAATAATGGCAGAGTCCAAGAAACTGGTCTCTTCCACCTCTTGCTGTTTTTAGACAAAGCAATGAGTAAAATAAAGATGTTAAAAAAAAAAGAGCTGAGTCTCTTTCAATCCACCCCATCCTTCCTGGCAACAAAACGTTATCTTAGGTTTTCCATCTTGATAGTATCAGTGATCAAAGACTTAAAAAGGATTGAGGGAATATATAAGGTTGCCTTTGACAAGATGGGCCGTATACCAGTTTGACTGATAAATATAATGAGCCATTATTTTGTATGGTCACACAAACCAAAAATAGAAGGTATAAGTTGGAGCTGCCTAGACTTATTTTTATTTACTATTTGTTAAATTTGTTTGCTGCCCATCTCACCTCAAGGTAGCCTGGGCAGCGATAAAACTGTACCAGTAAAAATACAAAATTATAATTAAAAGAATGCAAAATTAAAAGATTTCTTTGAAATGAAATATTTCCCTGAATAAGATCTGTCGAGCAGTGGAGCAAAGCATCTCTGGAAGTTGTGGGTTTTTCACTGTTGGATGTTTTTAAGCACAGGAAGGTCAGCCAGCCATTGAAGATAGTTAGATTGGTTTTCTTGCATACAGGTAATCCTTGACTTACAACAGTTCATTTCCTGATTGCTTGAAGTTACAACAGCACTGAAAGAAGTGACTTATGACCATGTTCCACACTGTTGCAGCATCCCCTTGGTCATGTCATCAAAACTCAGATGCTTGGCAACTGGCTCACATTTATGACGGTTGCAGCCTCCCGGGGTCATGTGATCCCCTTTTGTGACCTTCTGACAAGCAAAGTCAATGGGGGAAGCAATTCACTTAAAGACCACCTGATTCACTTAACAGCAGCAGTGATTCACTTAACTGTGGCAAAGTTGTAAAATGGAGCAAAATTCACTTAACAACTCTCTCGCTTAGCAACAGAAACTTTGGACTCAACTGTGGTCATAAATCAAGGACTACCTCTACTGCTGTGTTTCTCAGTCTTGGTGATGTTAAGATGGGTGAAAGAACTGTTGTAAGTAGAGGACTACCTGATATTTCCTTCTAGGATTTCTTCTTGGTCTCCCGTTCAGATAGGAATTAGAGCTGACTGGCTCCGAGCTCCTGAATATTAATACTGCTGAAACAGATCTTTCCTTTTAAGATGGGTGGACTTCAACTCCCAGAATTCCCCAGCCAGCATGGAGTTTAGGGTATTTAGGTTCAACCCCTCTTAAATCATGCTGGCTGGGGAATTCTGGGAGTTGAAGTCCATCCACGTTAGTTGCCAAGGTTGAGAAACACAGCCAGCAAAGGGGCTGATCTCAGGCCTCCCTCCAGCACAATTCCAGGTTCTTCTTCCTTGCCCATCTCTTTCATCAAATCCCTTGTCGCGGTCCTTTTTTCCTTCCTATTTCTTTCCACCACCACCCTCCAACTTCAGTTTCAGACAACCCCCCATTTAAAGAGCTGAGCTTTCATTCTTGCCTCCTCCTCGCCTCCCTCCCCCCCCGCCATAGCCTTCGAGGCCCAATTTGTTCCGCCCGAGGAACAAATCGGCACCGAGGCTGGGGAGCGTGGGGGCGGTAGTCCAAAGCACCTGGGGAGCGGCGGGGAAAAGGCAAGAGAGTCGGGGATGCGCAAGTGAACCTCGAAGGACTTGGGCGGGAGAGCAGATGGCCGGGGATGATGGGCAGCACCAGAGCAAGTTGAAGACTCTTAGGGAAGGCCGCGGATGATGGGAGTTTAAGGCCTCGAAAGAGAGAGGACGTTGGATCTCTGCCCCCGCCCCTCAAATAAATGAGGCCGCCGAGCCCACAACACGAAAAGTTTGCGCCCCTCACCCGCCTCACGCCGAGCCAAGATGGAGGCCGGAGAGAAGAGAAACCACCGCTGCCTCACGCCGACGAGGAAAAGGAAAGACTGGCGGAAGAGGCGGGGCCACGAGAGGCGCAGGCGCACTGCGGAAGGGGACTGCGCCGCGGGACGTCTCTAGGTTCCCTTTTCGCGCTTTCTCCCGCCCCCCTGCGCGGCCGGCGCGTGACGTCACCCACAGGATCGCCCTGACGTCATCCCCGCGCGCCTCTGAGCCAAGATGGCGGCCTTCCCCTCAGCTTTGGCCGGCGTCGGGCTGAGGAAGACGCTGCTGGTCCTGCGAGCGGTCGGGCGGCCGAGACGGCCCTGGCAGGCGGCCTTGCTGGTAGGGGCAGAGGTGGAGAGGTGGCTATGGGCTCCGAGGGGAGCATTTCGGGCTGGACTGGCGCGGTTGGCACAACCATTTTGAGGGGGTCTGTGCATCGGGAAGCATCACCGAGGCAAATGGAGCGGATTTTTGCTGCCCTCTAGTGGCCGTCCGGGTTTCTGCAGCCTAGATATGGTACCCCTGCTTGGAAGTTGGTTCTTCTATTGGTACGACAGGTAGAAGCATTGCAGGTTGATTATCCCGCCAGACCCGTGCAACTGGCCGAGTCTCTTAAGGGGAGGTTTCCCGCTTTTATTTGTTAGATTTTTATCCTGCCTTTCCTTTTCCTGTTTTCCCCACAACAACAACCCTGTGAGGTGAGTTGGGTTGACAGAGAGAGAGAGACTGGCACAAAGTCCCTCAGCTAGCTTTCATGGTTAAAATGGGATTAGAACTCTTAAAAGTTACCCAGCTGGCTTTTATGCTTAGAACAGGACTAGAACTCACCGCCTGCTGGTGATTGGCCCAAAGTCACCCAACTGGCTGCCTTGCCTAAAGTGAACTGTAATGGTATAGATTCTTCTGCTTGAGGAGGGGGCTGGGACTAGAAGACCTCCAAGGTCCCTTCCAGCTCTATTCTATTCTAAGGTGGGACTAGACTGTCAACAGGAGTGCTGATTTACCACCAGCCTATCAAGTATACTTAGATGGTGAGGGCACTAAAAGCAAAGGACAGCTAATGACTTAAAAGCCATCCATCCATCCACACGCCCCAATCAACATCTAAAAGCCCACATACAACAGGCACCATATAAATACTACACACAGAATAGCACACACACTGCTAGACAGAAGTTCTCTGAAGATGTGCTCCAGCACAAGTCTGAAAGCTGGGAAGACAAAACCTTTGGTCCTGGTGACTGACTCAGATTGGATCCTGCAACATAGTCCTGGGATGTGTATATTTGCCTTTGTTGGTGGGACTAGAATTCGCTGTCTCCTGGTTTCTAGGTCATCACCTTAACCATGCCACCAAACTAATCTTCTTTTAATGGGTGATTCTTTAATCCCTGCATTTTGCCCATAACATTATTTATGGGATGGGGCAGTTGATTAAAGTTAGATTCTAAATGTTATTTAGCCTTTCTATTTATGTCTTCTGCTCACATGCATCTTCCATCCCTTTCCTGCTTGACTTTGGACTTTCACTTCCATCATGTTCAGCTGCCTTTCTGCTTTCTTGGAACTCTTGAATCCTGTCCTCCTAGCATTCCAGTCATGTGGGTTCCAGGCTAGCAGGAAAAACAGTTTTCTTCCTCAACTTTTATTAAATTGGCTGCAGTAATTACAAATGAACTTTGTAGGGAAAATTAGCTCACTGCTATCTCATCCTTGTGTTTCAGAGACATGTTTCAGGTAAATCCAATTCTGCAGACCTGAAGTACCCAGGGATTGTTGAGTCTACTGAGGAATATAAATTTGTGGAGAGGTTGATACCACCTACCACAGTGCCTGTACCACCCAAACATGACCAGTATCCTACACCTTCTGGATGGAGACCACCACAAGGTAAAATGGGGCAAAATATTTCCAGATTTGATTTCCTTAATGTATAACATTTGACAAATTTGCTCTAGTAAGTTTCCTCCCTGAAAAGAAAATTGAGCAAAATTAAGACTTCTTGGTAGAGTAACTGCATTCACTATAAAATAAAAAACAGTTTCTTTTAACTCAGTTCTCCCTGACTCATACTGTACCTCTTGTTATAACTTCACGTTTTACATTTTAAGTATGTATCTTAAATTAAGCATGTGTGCAAAATTAATAGTTGAGCAAGAGGGAAGTAGATCTCCCCTGACCAGGTTTTGTTATAAATTACTTATTTTATGAAAAGACAATACAGTTATATTTATTTTGTTTCCAATTCTTTCAGATCTGCCTCCTGATCTTTCCTACTTTGTACGGCGGTCACGTATGCACAATGTACCTGTGTACAAAGATACTTCTTATCGTGGATCCAGGAAGATGACTATTATCAGGAAAATTGAAGGTGATATCTGGGTAGGTTATAGTTTTCTCTACCAAGCTGGTATAAGAGCTATGGCAGTGTGAGTTGATTTTAATCCTTCAGATCTCTCTGGAGATTCTCAATCATTCAGGTCATGTTCAAAAGGCAGCTGGACTTTTCTTTGCTTTTCTTTGCAGATGCTTTGCTTCTCATACAAGAAGCTTTTTCAGTTGTGGAAGAAGCGAAATGTTTTCAGGGAAAAAAGTAAGAAAGTCCTGTTGCCTTTTGGACTTCAAATCTGTCCTGAATGGGCGCTCTGTTGGCTGATCCCATATGGCTTCTGGAGCGGAGCTTGGCACATGAACATTCGTGTGATATGGAGCTTTGCATGCGTGTGCTTGCCCACCACTTGTGCAAGTTGAGCTTTGCACATGCACATGCTCTGCCATTGTTCTCTTGGTCTGGTTTCGAACAGGCTGTAACCGTGTAGTGGGCTGTGGCTCGGGTTGGGGACCCCTTTTCTACCTGGCAGCTTGGATGATTGCTTGGAGGCTGCAGTGGGTTCAGAGTGCAGCGGCCTCTGTGCTGATTGGCACTCACCAGAGAGAGCTTGTCAGATCAGAGCTGCAGGCCCTACACTGGATACTGGTAGGCTTCTGGGTCAGACAAACAACTAGACCAGTGGTTCTTAACCTGGGCGATATTGCCCCCCAGGGGGAGATTTCATTTTTCAGGGGGGCGATGGAACGAAAAGGGGTGACGCGGGGGTGAAGGAACAAAAAGGGGGCAATATGGGGGCGATGGAGCGAGAAGTTTGGGGGACACTTTTTTGTACAGTGAATTGCTGTATATCTGTCGTACAAAAACATCAGATCGCTCGCTATTAGTGGATTGAATTGTGTTTTCAAATGTTCCTCCAGCTAGCTTCAGTACAGAACGCCGTACATATGTGAATACGCATTGCTTATCTTCATGTGCGTTGCGCAGCAGCCTCTACCCATACAGTGGCACGCCATTGGCCAGAATATGGGAGATATAGGAAAAAGACTGGAAATAAATTATTTGCGTCGATATATCCTGATGAGAATTTTAAAGAAAACAAAAAAAGTGTTCGCATAAATTGAAGAATTATTTCCTATGTTGTGATTGAGAGGTTATATTGGGGGAGGGGGGCGATGACAACTTCCTCATTGGCTCAAGGGGGCGATTCGTTCAAAAAGGTTAAGAACCACTGAACTAGACAAATACAAGTGGTAACCTGTAAATTTACATTTTTCTTTCTCCAGGCCCTAGAGAATGATGTGAAGGGCTTCCTCACGGAATTGTCCGGACAAACGCCAGCAACCCAAGTCAATGAAAATACCTGTAGCATCCGTGTCAAGGGCTATTTTGAACAGGAACTAAAGACGTGGTTGATGGACAAAGGCTTTTAAACAAAGGATAGCAGATGTGTCGAGATTTGTCCCCCTGCGAAGATGCACTTGGGAAACTTGTTCTTACCCAATGAGTAATTCTAGCTTAGTCTAGTGATGCCCCTCCTTGTTTATTGAATACAAGATACAGATAGTCCTTGACTTACAACAGTTCATTTAATGACCGAAGTTACAACAGCACTGAAAAAAGTAACGGATGACTGTTTTCCACACTGACGGTCGTTGCAGCTTCCCCGTGGTCACGTGATCAAAATTCAAATGCTAGGCAACTGATTCATATTTATAACAGTTGCCCTGTCCCAGGGTATCACGCACACAACCTAATTCCCATGCATGCACAAATGAAGCTTTGCATGCTCACCCACCACTTCAGCAGTTCCCACTGGACCATGGCCCAGTTGCAGACCACGGCCCAGGGGTTGGGGACCGCTGGCTTATGGGGCAAGGGAAGTGGAGAAATGAGTTGTGTTCCAAGGGTTTAAGTTGCCCCAACAGACAATTCATGCAGTAGAGAACTGTCAGTTTTATCCTTTTAGGTGTAAATATCAGCAAAGGAAAGCTGAAAAGGTCCTTAAGTAGAATCAAAGCAGTGGGCCATATAAGTCGGTATAAATTTAGGTCACAGCCCTTGTGTATTCATAAAGGAAGCAGTAACGCTCAAATCCCAGTGACAACTTGGTCTAACCCAGTGGCCTGCAACCATGACAACTGTAAGACTTGTGGACTTCAGCTCCCAGAATTCCTCAGCCAGCATAGCAGACCCCTGGGCTAACCCAAACCCACACACTTCTAGTGGCAGGGTAAGAAGTTCTTTGGTACTAGAGGTAGTCCTTAACATATGACCACCAGAGCCCAAAATTTTTGTTGCTAAGCAAGACATTTGTTAAGTGAATTTCTCCCCCCCCCTTTTTACGACCTTGGCACAGTTGTTAAGTGAATCGTTGCACTTGTTAAGTTAGTGACAGTTTTTAAACGAATCTGGCTTCCCCATTGATTTTGCTTGTCACAAAAGAGGTTCACATGACCCTGGGACACCGCAACAGCCATAATTGTGAGCTAGTTGCCAAGGGTCCAATTTTTGATCACGTGACTGGGGGTGCTGCAACGGTCATTGTAAAAACAGTCGTCACTTTTTCGGTGGTGTTGTAATTTGAACGAACTGTTGTAAGTAGAGGACTACCTGTTCCTTTCTTCTAGATTTCTTCTTGGTCTGCTGTCCAGATAGGAATTAGAGCTGACTGGCTCTGAGTCTATGTGTGGTTGAGTCTGCTGAATTAGATCTTTCCTTAAGTTTGGCAACTTTGAAGATGGGTGGACTTCAACTCCCAGAATTCCCCAGCCAGCATGGAGTTTAGGTTGAACTCCTCTTAAATCATGCTGGCTGGGGAATTCTGGGAGTTGAAGTCCACCCATGTTAAAGTTGCCAAGATTGAGAAACACTACTTTAAAGCAATCTTACACGGGTCTGTTCTAAATAAGAGTGGATGACACATTACCGATTCCAGTTTATTTACAGCTGCAAAAAGTGAAAATGTACAGAGGAAACCCTTTTACAAAAAAAAAAAGAACATGCTGTTTCCAAGGCCTTGAGTTAAAATGAAACTAAATTTGCAACCAGGAAGAAGATGGAGTGTCAAAAGAGCCTGTGATTGTGTGTCTTGAGAAGTATCTCTGCTGGACTTCCCATGGGCACTGAATTCTTTCAGTCCTGCCATGGAATGAAGGAATCCTGTTTGAATCCTCTTGATGGCAACGTGTCCTCCCCAGTTTTGAAAATTTAGGGGGAAAATGATAAATGAAATTAATACAAAAAGGATCAGGTTTTTCTAAAGCTTGCAACAAGTCTTTCCATCGCCGTCGGGAAAGAGACCACAGTCAGCCATTTGCTTCCATTCAGAAGTTGAGCAAGGATAGCCACAGCTGCCCATCTATGCCACGACCATCTCCTGTCAGTTGTTTTTAGGTCTGTTGGTAATATTGATTGTAGTTCCACGTGTTCTGGTATCCATAGTTGCTGTAATTCTGCAACAGAATAAAGTAGCAATGGGGGGGGGAAGCATTTATGTTAAGTGAAGAAATGTGGACTACAGAAATGTTATTTTATATAGCTTGTTGTAAGCTGCCCAGAGTCATTGGATACAAGATGGGCAGCAAATACATTTTATAAATAAATAAATCAATAAAGTAGCCTCTCTTCCACCGTATCCCCCAACCCAAGTTGGATTCACGCCAATCATTTTGATCAGTGATTAGAGGCAGCGAGAGCTGGAATGACCACAGGTCCTCTAGCATCCTTTTAACCAATTTAGCAATAGCATTTAGACTTATAAACCGCTTCAGTGTGCTTTACACCCCTCTCTAGGCGGTTTACAGACTCAGCTTATTGCCCCCAACAATCTGGGTCCTCATTTTACTGACCTGGGAAGGATGGAAGGCTGAGTCAACCTTGAACCACTCAGAATCGAACTGCTGGTAGTCATCTGAATTAGCCTGCAATACTGCATTCTAACCACTGTGCCAACATGGCTCTTTAGTTGTAATATGTATATATATAATAAACAAGAATCATAGGGCTGCAAGGAACCCTGGAGGTCTTCTAGTCCAGCCCTCTGCCCAAGGCAGGAGTTCTTACACCATCCTGGACATATATACCTGTCCAATATCTTCCTAAAAACCTCCACTGATGGAGCACCCACAACTTCTGGAGGCAAGCTGTTCCACTGGTTAATTATTCTCACTGTCTCCTTAATTCCAGGCTGGTTCTCTCTTTAACAAGCTTCCACTCATATCTTAGAGAAGCTTTGCTCAATATGCAAAATATATTTAAATGTGGCCAATTTTTTAAAAAGTGGGCAGTAGGAAACAGCTGAATTGTATATCAATGTTTGCTAGTTATGAACCTCCAAAGGCAGTGCAGATAGTCCTCAATTTATGACCGCAGTAGAGTCTAGAATTTCCATGGCTAAGCAAGGGGGTGGTTACATGAGTCACACCCAATGTTACAACCTCTTTTGCCAAAGTTATTAAGTAAATCACAGTCATTAAATGAATCTGGCATCCTCTGTTGTGCTTGGCTTGTTAGAATTGGCTGGGAAGGTCGCAAAACGGCACACATCGCATGGGGCACTGCAACGGTGACAAATAACATGCCAGTCGCCAAGCGCCTGAAGTTTGAGGACGTGACTCTGGGGATGTCGGGATGGTCATAAACGGGAGGACCGGTTCCAAGTCACTTTTTTCAGTGCTGTTGTAATTTTGAACAGTCGCTGAACGAATGGTTGTTTAAGACGAGGACTACCTGCAAAGTCTCTATTCACACTGACCAAAGTTTTAAAAACCGTATCATTATTATTCCAGCTCCGCAGCTCCATTTGATCTCTGATACGGATTGTGCAGACCATGGGACTGGGGTCACACTCAAGAGTCAATCCCGTCATATGTTCAGATCTCCTGAAACCGATGCCCCCTCCCCACCCGAGATGTCCTGGCACGGCAGGGCCCATCATCCCCTCCCAATACAGCAGCGACTTGTAGTCCTGAGATCGCCCGGGGGGGGGGAGGAAAGGAGCAGATGCTTCACAATCTGATGCCAACTGCCTTGGGCCACTCACCTGGTACCACGTGTTATAGTTGTAAGTGCCTGCTGAGCTGGTGTCACTTGCCATCAAGGGCGTGATGCCCGTTGTCGCCATGGCTACGCTGCCACCCCCTATGGCTGCATCTTCCAGTCTCAACCTTTTGTCATCGGTTTCATCCGCACTGCTTGGGAATTTCAAAAGGGTCAATGTCATCTGGTCACCTTTGGCTCTGTTGCAACAGCAGGGTATCCGTGGGGACTGTAGCTTCCTCAAGGGGATGCACCCAGGCTCTGCCCCATCGCGGAGGCTGCCCGCCCTTCCCCTGCCTCATAAACCTCTGAGCCTGCTGCCTAGGGAGATTCTCAGTCATCCAGGTCAGAGTTATCCCAAAGATGCTTTTACTGGACTGTCTTCTTTTTTCTTTGAAGATGTTTCACTTCTCATCCAAGAAGCTTCTTCAGCTCAGTGGCCGCATGAAAAAGCATCTTTGGGATAACTCTGAGACTGCTGGCCTTTTGGAAGGCTGACAAAAACAGATGCCGGCCCATTATGCTCCTGGAACCCAATTTGGGGGTCTGCCCTGTGCTGATTGTGGAGTTGGTTCGTTTCTTAGTTTACAAGCAGCCAAAGATTCTGAGCAGTTCACAAGAAAACAAAACAACTATAAAACAATAAAAAAGCAGCAACGGGCACGGCATATCCC